GGGTGGCTGGCAGCAGCTTTCTAATGGTGGGGGATGATGGAGGGAAATGCGAGCCAGCCCTTTTATTGGCATCCGTGGCCACCACACATGCAGTCACCTCCCCGAGCCGGTTGTGTTCTCAATTTCTGCCCCTCCATTGTGTGATGGATTTGATCACGTTAGCAGCCAGTGTGCGGCTTGTATCCCCCCACCTCTCTCCCTTGAAAAACACTTGCATGTTTCAGCAGGGTTAGGTGGCTTTGTGTTTTTTTTTTCTCTTCTTGTCTAAATAACCCTCCTCTCCCCCTAGAAATGTCCTTAACATAATAAGCATCAGTTTCACCAGTCTCTGCTGGTAGGGATGAGAGCTGATTAAAGATACAGCTTCTCTCCACTGAATCTAGCTAAGGGGAGGGGGCAACTTCAATTACTCCTCTGACTTTCTGCATTGTGGGCCAATCGCAGCTTCTATAGAGTGTTTGTGTCCATCCTCCTAGCAACATAGGCTCATTGCATGGCAATAGATGCAAAATCTAGTGTGGAGAGGTGGGCTGTGTTTCTTTATCCCTTAGCTTTCCTGCAGAAGAGCAGTGTAACAGCACAGTCTTTTCTGTCTGGGGTCCCTGGATATCCTGTTTGGTGTGAATGCAAGGCCTCCTGGCATCTTGCACGTTCCGTGTGCATCTGTGTTTGAATGGCATTGTGCTTGCTCAGGTCACCGAGGCTATTTTGTCTAGGCTACAGGTGACAGGGAGTGGATTTTTAAGTGACATGCTTTCTGCAGGAAAAGTCCTTCCCGTAGGTCTGCTCTGCAGTGCTTGCAGGTGGCTTTCTCTGATCTTTCACACCTTGATGTTTTTATGTTGCCAACAAGGGATGGAAGGACCTAGTGTAACTCAAGGGCTCTCACAGGTGCTAAAAAAGGCAGTGAAAGAAGACACAGTAGTATATGCTGGGGGGAGGAGGGACATGTGTTGGTAGAGCTTTAAGCACCTACTGTGCTGTGAGGGATGCAGATGAAATCAGGATCCATGTCTCAAGGAGTTCATAATCCAAGACTGATCACAATCAGAGCCACTCTCTGAGCCTCTCAAGGCAAGCCCTAACCCTATCTTGGAACGCATTTTAATGTGCTGTGGGTGGATGATGGCATTTTTACTGATGCAGGGTAGTGTTTATAGTCTTATCACAACTATGGGTTCATGTTGCTCATGCTAGTAATTCCATATCAACCTCAAAGCCAAGTTAGGCAAAGAGGATGTGCAGCCCAAAGTGCATAGCCTAAATTGCTCAATAACAAGGTGTATCTTTTCATGCAAATTTAGTATCAGGTGACTTTGTTTACATACAGAAAAAAGGGAATAGTAATATTTGCCTCAGGGCTCATGAAGTAGTCTTTGAGATGCTCAGAAGGAAGATTCTGTAATGCAGAGATCATGGGGCATGTGTTATGTTAAATGGTCTCTTCCCTTTCTTGCCATTAGTGTTGTTGATACATCCTGCTTTGTTAGATGGACCTCACACAGGCTACCTGCCAACCCTGATTACATACAGAATTGTAGAACTGCAGCAGACAGTGGCATAACTGGCAGGAAAATAAGGATTTAATACTCACCTGCAGCTAAAAAGAAAACAAAACTTTGAGAAGAGGAAGATGGGGAGAAATCAGATGGGGAGAAAAAGGGAGTCTAATTAGTGATACATCCTTTTTCTTGAGGGAGGAAGAGAGAACAAGAAACCCTTCCCCTCCCCCCCCCCAATGCCTTTCTTCCCTATCTACTCTTGTCCAGGGACATAAGGAATCTAGTGGGAGAGCCCAAGCAGCAGATGGGTTTGCTGGCACAGTTGCTTGTTAGAAGTCACGCTCTGAGCTCCTCTATGCGCTAGTATTGCTGATGGCTGAGCATTCATACTTTAGAGCTAGACTGGGATCTAAGAGTGTGTTGGGGGTAATGGGAAGTATGTAGCTGCACCGTCCTGGAGGAGAGTGGAGAGCAAACTGTGAAAGTTACACACTGTTCCCTGGTTCCTCCCACTTGCTGCAGGGGTGGGGCAGGGATGCAGTGGGCTACTGATAGCTTACCAGTAGGTTGCATTCTCCATCATGTACCAGTGGAGCTCCTCTGGCTGCTTCACTGAAGTGGGGAATCCAAGATTCTGCCCATTCTCTGTTCGTATGTGGCCATTTCCCACCCACCTGCCGTTCTCCTCCCCAGCCTTGTGCTGTGCCTGTGATGCAGGTACCCCACAAAGCAGGGTAAGAGGGCACGCTACGTCTCCTTACTCCCTGAGTCGGTATGGCTGGTTGTTACGGACCAGCTCAGATGTTTGATTATGGAGGTGGAAGAAGTATGCTCTGTGCTCCTTGTCAGTCTGGAGGATGCAGTGAGTTGCCAGTGCCCAGAGAATATTTGGGCCAGAGAGCCTTCCTCCTTAAGAATATAAGGACATAAAAATGGCCATACTGTAACAAACCAAAGGTCTGTCTAGCCCAGTATCCTGTCTGCTGACCATGGCCAATGCCAGGTGCCTGAAGGAATAAATAGAACAGGCATCCATCAAGTGATCCATTCCCTGTCACCTATTCCCAGTTTCTGGCAAGCAGAGGCTTGGGACACTATTCTTGCCCATCATGGCGATAGCCATTGATGGACTCATCCTCCATTGAGGAACCTATCCTTTATCTAGTTCTTTTTTTAACCCTATTATAGTGTTGGCCTTCACAACACCCTCTGGCAAGGAGTTCCGCAGGTGGACTGTACATTGTGTGAAGAAATACATCTGCTACTGTACCACCTGTGAACTTTGTATCCCTTGAGTTCTGGTAGCCATATATTATTATTTGTTTATAACCCTCCACAAAACTTCCTTAATGCAGTCAAATTAATTTCAAGGCTGCTAATTAACTTGCTTCTGTTATTGACCAATAACTTAACAACTGTGTTGTTTTATTTCAGGATGTTTAAAGGTTAAGTGCCAAACACCAAAATGAGTGTGACTTCGTGGTTCCTGGTGAGCAGCACTGGCATTCGCCACCGGCTCCCTCGGGAGATGATATTTGTTGGCAGAGATGAATGTGAACTAATGCTCCAGGTAAATATATTTTAATTCAGTTTCTTCTGATCTGGTAAATGTCTCCTGAAGATGCAGTAGATGCCTTGAATGTAAAATCAGGGCTCTAGAAGCTATTCCAAACCCAACAGTTACTTTTAAATAAATTCTCTATTTCATAAGAACTCGATATAAGCTAAATTTACGATACCCACCGAGGTTTGATGTACTTGTGAAAGCGCCAGTGAGCTTTTCTCCAAGGGCCCAGTGATTAGTCTGGGAGTCGGAGCTTTGTAGGCTGTAAGCTAAGTGACAGGAACAGATTAATAGTATGGCTCCCAAGGCAGCGCGTCACCACAAAATTAAAAATTCTGTGCAAGGTATTTTAAAATGCGGCATATTTTATTTCTCAAAATAGCACAATTATTTTGATAATTTATTTTAAAATACCTGTCAGCAAGTATGTCTGGAACAACACAGCAAAAAGGGGTCAGGGAAGGTTTTTTGACCAGTAGATTCCTTACTTGGCATATTGGCACATATTAATGGCTCCTCAGAGCATATGACAACACTGATGCTTCCATGCATGCCAAACACAGACAGCTTTAAGGCTGTGTCCACACAGCCAAGAAAAACCCGTGGCCGGCCTGTGCCAGCTGACATGGGCTCGTAGGGCTCAGGCCGTGGGGCCATTTCGCTGCTGTGCAGAATGATGGGCTCCGTCTAGAGCCAGAGCTCCAGGATCCTCCCATCTGCTGTGTCCTAGAGCCGAGGCTGTGCAGCAAGGAAGAGCCCTGCAGCCTGAGCCCTGTGAGCCTGAGTGGCTTGGCACAGGCTAGCCAGAGGTTCTTCTTTGCTGCGTAGACAGATCCCAAAGAACAGGATGTCCTTAGGAGTAAAGTTAGGCTGTGAACTGGCATAGCACTGAAACAGCTGCATGTAGTTCAGCACCGGATTAGGAATCAGGAGCCTGGCACATGGTAGGAGCTGTCTGCTGGGGCCTCTCCAGCCCTGTTCCTCTCCTGCTCCAGGTACACTGTAATAGCAAGAGAGAGGGACAGAGTCTTGCAAGCTTGCGCAGCCCTGCCACCCCAAGGCGGGGACTTAAGTCACTCCTGGCTGGTCTCAGAGCCCAAATCAGACATACTCACTTGAGAGCGCTGCCCAGGAGGGACATGTAAATCAGTTATCCTGTGGGGAGGGAGTAAAATCTGTACGGGCCATTAACTCTGGGCTTATGTAAAGATCCACAGTTTCCCCAGGAGTTAATACTGATGCTCATACTGGGATGTGAATGGTTAACCGGTAAGCCTTGCCCTTAACGTGTGAGGCTCACCGGTTCCGATTATCAGGTAGGGCTGGAACAGCTCCCTGCCCGCTGCCAACAGGGAGCTGCTCCAGTCCCGGCGGCGCCACCACAGCAGGGGCTGCTCTGACCATGCAGCCGGAGCAGTGCCTGTCTGTGTCATGCCCGGTGAAGTCCCCTCCTTTAATTGGTTAGCCAGTTAAACAGGATTTTACCTCCTAGCTCATACAGACACTATGCAAAAGAAACACAATTCCTTCCCTTGCTTCTGAATCTATTTTTTCTATAAATTTTACTGTATATACCATCTATGGATGCTTGTGATTTTTTTTGTTTCTGTTCACATTTCATTAGTGCTTTTAGAGTAAAGATCCAAGACAGAGACTTAAAACAGACACTAATGTTGTTTCCTAAGTACAGAAACTTTAGCTGATGTGGTGGCTAGGGATGTAAGCAGGTAGTCGACTACCTGGTAAGCCTAAGCTTATTGGGTAGTTGAGTCGACTACTTGCTCCCCCTCCCCCCAGCTGCCTCTATATCAGAGGCAGCGAGGCAGGGAAAACCAGAACTGGTGCTTGGAGGGGCATTTTAAAGGGGGATGTTGCGCAGTTGGAAATTAGCAGAACCAAGTCAAGGATGCTTATTCCCCGGGTTCAGGCAGCGCAGCTGGGCTTGGGGGGAGGGAATGGCAGTGAAATAAGCATACACTCAATATAAATCACACAGCGAGGGGACTTACAGGCCCTGTGCTACCCGCATGTGGCCACACATGAAGGGAGCCATGCAAGGCAGGTGTTGACCCTGCGCCCTAGCTAGGCGCTCTGGAGCACTCCACTCCAGGCATTCGCTTGCTTGTCATCTCCCCCTCTGCTTCCTTCCTTCCTTCCCCTTCTCTAGCGCCCAGGGAAGGGCTTTACAGCGACTCCTCAGTCTTTCCCTCACCTGAGCTCGCTTTCACCTTTGGGCTGGGAAGTCTTGGTCCTTATTTTGTGGCTCAGGCTGGAAATGCTGTTTAGCTCCTGACTGGAGCAGGGGAAAAGGTCCCTGGCTGCTCTTAGAGGACACTTTCCTCCTGCCTCCACTGCCCCCATGCACCCGATGCGGATTTATTAATGGCTGCATTGAACAGGAGCAGTGATTGGCATTTCCTAATGGAAATGGTGTCCGAGTTTTCTGCCGGCCGCAACGCTCCCGGCTCACCCTTGCCCCATCAGGGCCTGGAGGGGAGAGGCAGATTTTCCTCTGAAGTGGCCCCGACTTCAGTTTCCCAGACTCAATACATTTTAAACATGGGCACACAAACACAGGCTGCAAATTAGAGCAAACTGAATTAGAAACCAGGCCTGGGAGTATCTCTGTATCCCCCATACCTCCAGTCTGAATGCCCCCATCTTGCCCCTTAGCCTGGCAAACAAAGAGTTTCCTTTGATTTCTCAGACTTGCTATCATTTTTAAATTAATGACTCCGCCCCTGGCTAATCAAATCCACAAGGGTTGGATGGTTTGCCTGCACTGGGGCATCGGGAATAAGCCCAACCCCCTGTTTGCTTCCTTCCTTTCTTCCCTCCCCGGCTGGGGCTTGCTCACAACAAAGTTTGCAACCAAAGTAGGTTGCGATTTGGAACTTACAGGAAGCGAGCCAGCTGGGAGTGGCAGATTTGCTTGTCCGGCAGGTCAGGATCACACCCCTCCCACACCTCACACCCTGATCGATTGGTGATGCTGGGCTTGCAACCGCAGGGAGGGGTGAAGGAAGGGGTGGGCGTGGGTGGCAAAGGAGGCGAAGAGAGGCAGGCGAGGGGCGCAAACCTTGCCCTAGCCCTGGGGAGCTTGAACCTTTCTACCTTACCTAGTTCTCTTGACATTGATTTTTCCCAGTGTCTGTCTAGTTCCGCGGAGGTTGCAAATCAAAGGGGACATGGAAGAGGCTGGCAATTGAGGTCTGGGGAGCCAAGTCTGCACCATGCCCTCCCTGCTTTATCCAGCCACTCCTTTATTGTTTAGTCTCGTTTCTTTTTTCTTGGTTCCGCGGTCTGGGATCAAATGTAGCACGATTTAAAATGCAGAGCCGCAGCAGTCGCTGCTCTGTCCTGGCCCATGCCGGTCAGGAACCTACCTCTGCTGAGGCTCTGCAGCTTAAATGTAGTAGGAGGTCAGCTGTGGCTCCTACTGCATTTAAACTGCGGAGCTGCAACAGGGGTAGCTCCTGGACTGGTGTGAGCTGTGACCGAGCACTTTCCCCTGTTGACTAATCGTGTCATCGATACAAATTGTATTTATACCACGATTCATCAGTTATCCACCTCTTAACACCCTTAGTGGTGGCGTGAACTAGAAGGCATCCTTCTGCCCTAAAAAGCTATTGTGTTACTTGCACAGAAACATGATTTCCCTCCCATCCCCCGCAGTGGGATAATCCCGTTTGTTTGCAGTCTTGGCCTTGATGGTCAGATGTTTCAGCTTAAGAATGCTACATAGTGTTGAACACGCATATGTACAAACTGGAGAAAAATGTTAACCAGGAATCCTTCATCTGAGGACTTTGTGGAAATTCAGAACCTAAATTATTGAACTTTGACCTGGTTGAAACATTAATATTTAGATGCAGAAAACTCTTTGTTGTGTTCTGTTGTTGTTGTAGGTGTGAATGAACTGGGCTACAAAGAAGGGAAGGAGGTTTGTCTTGGGCTGTTTCAATAGAGGTTCCTGGACGCTGGTCCCCAGAGCATGGGTCATAGCAGCCTACAGTGGGGATTGGCAGTAAGCTAACTGTTGCACATTGGAGCTGTCGTCCTGTTTCCACCAGCTAAATAGTGTGAAGAAATGTCCTAAATGCTTTTCTAATATTTTCCTGTGCAAACATTTTTTGTAGCGGGTTCAGGGAGTTTGTGTGTTTGGGGATGAAAGGAGAGCTAATGGGTTCGGTTTCCAATCAGAGGAGAGGTGTCTACAGGCAATCAGTCTATTAAGATGTGGTCTGTCTTTAACAGTGTTTCTCAATCAGTGGTACAAGTACCCTTAGGGGTACTTGAGAAAAGTCTGGGAGGTACATCAACACAACTGAAATGTGGAGAAAACTGAATTTTTGTTTTAAGTTTTACAGCGCTTTATTATTTTTGTACTTTTTACACCCCAACATTTCATTGCCTGCCCAGCTACGATGAAGTTGTTTAAACAAATGTGTTGCAACGGTAGAAAAAAAATGGTGTGTCTGAACATTTTTTTATTTTTTTATTTTTTTTGAAAAAGGGAAACTTTATAAAAAAAGGTTGAGAAACACTGGTCTGTAACAACACTGGAGAAACCTCCATTCAAACGGAAAACTAGCTGATGTGGGGACATTGATTTGCAGTTTATGAAATGGCTAGACTGGGTTTTCTAGAGTTTGGCACTCCGACATTTTTTTGTTTCATAGTGGGTCATTTGTGGGGGTTTCCCCATGACCATGCTTTTTTGTTTTTGTCTTATATTTCTGCGTTTGAGAGCGGAAGGTGAAATCTACAGAGGTTAAAAAGGTCCTAATGTTTTCTGTAGAGCTGTTTTGGACAGTTCAAAAAACCTGATTGTTCAAAAGGGCTTGAGTTTTTAAGTGATTAACTTAAGACCCTTTAAAGGCACCTGATTTTCATGGGCTGGGTGCTATGCACTTTCTGAAAATCACGTGTCTCTAGTTGGGCGCTCAGAAATGGACACCCCAGATCAGTAGTTGCTCTTAAAAATCTTGGTCACTGTTTCT